AAATGTGGCTTTATTATCTTTATTTAATAAAAATAAAAATAAAACATGATTTTTGAATTTTTAAACTATAAACCTGATTTTTGAATTTGAAACTTAAACACCTTATTTTTTATTTTTTCCCTTTATTTTTATTTTTTTCCTTTTTGAAGCCCCATAAGTTTTGAAGTCCTAGGCCATTACCTAGTTGGCTTTGGCCTGGGCCTATCCCGACCCTAACCACCATGTGATTTCAGATTATGCAATTTTTTTTTGCGAGATGCATTGTTATTTAGCATTCCTGTCTTTCCCCACCAAAAGGAAGGCATCATTTTTCTTATGTCATCACATAACTGATAATTGCATTCCAGACTTTTATTCTTATGCGATTATACGTAAATTCAATGATTAGCTGTGTAAATTATGTTAATCATACAAAAAATCACAACTTGGATACAATTGGTGTGAAAAATGATTATTGGAGCTTCATTGAAGTTGATTTGGATCAATTAAAGATTAATCATATTGCAATTGATGAATTGGAAGTATTAATGGAGCATTCATTGTTTTTTTGTTTCTTTTTTAAATTCTTTATAGAAACGAGTACAAACAAGGATTTTAACCTAAATATTGTTCTATAAATACATGCGTTAGTCCAACAATTGAAAGAGATTTGTTGGGATTCATATGTACATATTCAAAGGGTCTCTTTGGAGATAAAAGTCATATCAACTATAAGAAAAGAGAACATCAAAAGAAGAGAAGTATCAAAAATCAATCAAAAAGTTATGATTTCAAGGTTTTGACACAAAAAGACGGATTCTTGGTTCAAGATCTTCATATTTTTCCAGTATTTTCTTAGAACTCAGTGATATAATTTAATTCTCTCTCCTAATGTGTAATTAAGTCATTGTAAGATAGTTTTGAATTTTAATTATAAGTTTTTAAGTCTCTAATTAGTATTGTGAACTTCTATTCTTAATGCTTTGAATTAATTAGCCACCAATTCATTAATCTGTGAGCGATAATTACGTCGAGAGATGAAATATTTTTTGATACCATGTAGTAAAAACTCACAATTTGAGTAGAACGGTATAGATGCACTTTTATGGTTGTCGCGTTCGTTAAATGAATTTTTTGGTAATTGAATACTTTTGATTAAGGCTTATTCAAATTCATATAGAGATATGGTGAATTGAGGGACTCGGCGTGTATATGAGAGAAGCACTGAGGTCAAACTTAATTGGGTAGAATTGATTTAAACTCAAGAAAAGTAAATCAATTAATGTTGAAGAATTTGACTGAGCATATAAATCAATTATTTTAAAAATTGGTAATTGAGATTAAAGGGGTAACTTGACCCGTAACATTTAAACCATCATTACAAATCAACTTGTGCATTTATTAATTGTTTTCGTAGATTGTAATAAAAAAATCATAAACAGAAGATAAAACACGTTTAATTGTTTTCAATCGAATTGAAATTAGAAATAGTTGAATCAACAATTAGATATTTGTCCATGTGGGAATGACAATTCGAACTCTTAAATTTATTTTATTACTAAGTATGATTCGTATACTTAAGGGATATAAAATCGACAAAATCGACAATTGGAATACACTAATAGCGCACAGCAAAATAGATTGGGCAACTACTTTTGTCGACCTCGTTTCTCTCACCGTAGACGTGAAGAATAGATAGTGGGCCCACTCGTGTTCTCTCAAGCTAATTCCAACATACGTGGAAAGATTGTCAATTGATAATAAAACAAGGTTGGACGTGTGAGAAGCTTTGTAACATGAGACAAAAATGTTCGGGTTCCAACGAAATATATGAGATAAATTACATGATAATGAATGACCAATTAAGAGCCAAACTGAAAATCAAGATCACGCATCAAATATTAAAAACTAAAGATTAATAAAAAAGAGAGAGAATATATGACTTGCAGTTAATATTTTTGCATTACCCCCCAAATGACACAAATGGTTGACATTTATAGTGTTACATGCGAAATAGTAACCATTGGATGAGATAACACGTAGTTTCATCTTCTTTATCGAAACATCACATTCTAGGTATCAATTTTGACTCAACTAGCCCGTGGCTCATTAAATGTCTCAAGAGGGAGGCAGCCACCCCATAACCTGTGCCGACAAGATTAATCTTTCTACTCATTACAAAATTCTAATCAATCATTTTAAAAAGATTTCATACATTCAAAAAATCCTTAAACGTGGATCGTCACCAGCCTTAGTTGAGCATCAGGTTCTACTTCATTGAACCTCGTCACTTCGACAAAAAAGTTTCGTTGAACCTCGCCACTTCGGCAAAGAAGTTTCGTTTGGACTTCGGATTTGTCTTTAGTAGAGGAGCTTCGGAAGGGGTCAGCCTCATGAATTGCTTCGATAAGGGTATGCTTCGGATTTGTCTGGAGTTTGATAGATCCTACTTCACTTGGGATGCCACATGGTTTCGACGTAAGATGTTTTAATGGGTCGGTTGAGCCACGTAGGAGCCTAGGTGGTGAAGCATAACAGCTTTTATCATAATTTTCATTTCCCCCCATTGAGAAAAACTTCCAGCACCACATTTGTAGCTTTTGCCAAGTTTGTCTCATAGTCTTGCAAATATATTTTTCTTGTTGTGTCCGATAAAATAATTAATTACTATCAATAAGTAAATCCATTTTTTTTCTCAGATTAATCAAATGACGTGTACTATACCTCCGTAATTTGTTAATAATAAAAATAATATTTGGTAGTAAATTTATAATTAACAACTATGTGAACATCTAGATATACTAAATACTAATTTTATTATTTTATTTTATTTTTACTTTTGTTGAGATATATACAATATGAGAGATTTAGGAAATTGTTAAGTATTCTATAAAACATTAGAACTAAATGACATTGTTTTAATACATTAAAACTAAATATTAGATAATCTATTACTTTTAAAATTGAAGTGCTGAAATGATAAAAGAATTATTAGGTATTAAATATCCTTATATTATTTTAAACTTTTAACTCGAATAATATTCTATATAATCACAGGTTTCACAATCGATAGTTTTTTATTTTCTATTTTATGAAAACAGAAATTGTTGACCTTGAAAAAAATATCTTCACATGGCCAACAGCTTGCAGTTCCACGTAACTTTTTCCTACACACGGGAACACACCGTTAGTTACCCGTGGCTTTTTCCGGTGGTGGTGATGGAGGAGGCCACGAGCACTTGGTCAAGTTAGTAGATGAATATTGGGGAGGATGATAAATAGTAAAGTATGTTCTTGAGAAGTTGAAATGTCTTACCTTTAGTAGTCGAATACAAGGGTTTATATAGCATTCGAGATGAAATACTGACCGCGTGATGAGGGGACACGTTGCATCATGGCGAGAGCAATCCATATCCCCTCCTAGGTATCAATCCATCAGTCATAGGTTGATGGTTATTTAATACAACATCCAATGCTTCATGTTAAGAGTTGATGATTTGACATATTGGTGTCTATTACAGAGATGTCACGTCAATCAATTATTTAAAGATTGTCAAAGACCTTTAGATTAGAAGAGTTGAGGTGATGACCCCATGCCTCGATCCCCCATATCACTTCGACGACTCGCACCTCGACACGTCTCACTTCGTTACTTCGGTCAGCCGAAGGACGGATTTTGGAGCATCGATGCTTCGGTAGAGAGGCTCAAGGTGATGCTTCAGTTCACACGCGATTGTGGATTGTGGGCCTGTTCAGGGAGCCACGTGGCGTCATTAGTAAAGGCGTAACATAAACTTATTTGCAGTAATTGTGAAATTTATTGTTTTACTTGTAAAACTGTTCTTTAAGCTTAGCCAAGGAGCTTTTCTTTACAAACGAGTGTTCTGGCTGTGGTGCACAGTCATTCTAATGATGTATATATTTTTAAAGTTCGAGAGATTACCCGACGTCTAGTAAGTATTTTTCGTGTTTTCAGAAGAAAGAAAAAAAAAAGTAATGAATTTTATCATTTTCAATAAATATTAAATATGTTTTTTCTCGAGTTTGTGTTATTATTTACAGAGATTATAGTGAGTTACAACGTGCAATTATTTCGGTAATTGGTTCCCATCTGTTGTTTATGTTTGGATATTTTCTTATTTGGGAATACTTCTCAGGTGTTTGTTTTTTGTATATGTCAACAATGGATTTTTTGTAGGAGTTAATGTTATTCATGGTCAACGACGATTGCGCAAGTCATTCTATATAACAGCTTGTTACTTGAGGTATTAATTTTCTATAATTTTGTTGTCTCAAATAACAAGGATTATTATAGTCGCTAACTATGAATAACATTACTTTCTTCGTAAGTACACGCAAAATGCTCAATACAATGCTAATGATCAGTCAAGTTGTAAGAATATAGCCTCAATCGAAAGTGTTGCTTGATCACCTTTTGAAGTGAACTAATGCTTGTCGGGTATGTTTCAATGGTGGGTGGGTCTGTCGTTAACCATGCAGAAGTGATTGAAGCCAAGTCCTAATAAGATGACTTGCTCGAAAGTCTTCCTTTGGGGTAAAACTAATTCTTTTAGTTGTGCAGCTTATGCGCGCATCGCTTTAAACCCAAAACAAACAAAAGGGAACGATATCTCAATTAATATCGAAGCTACCATGTTTTTCATATATTTCAAATTTCATTCTATTGGTTTCCTATTTGCAGATATTAAAAATTTCCCCTTAGTCAAGAAAAAATGCCCATGACCTAAAAAACCCTCTATTATACCAAGCACTCCGGCAAGAGAATTAACAAGAATCAAATTAGATAGCATAAATAGAACAAGGCCATTCAGTCTTATCCATTGCAATTCAAAAGAAAACCGTGATTTATAACAAGCAATATAAAAACACGGGGAAAGAGATTACAAATATAAAACGATCTCTTCAACCCTTTATATACTGAAACATGCGACTCTTACTATCCTTTATTCAATGCATGAAAAACCGAATTTACTAGCAATAGGAGATCGTTTGCAGAAAGCTTACCCAGACCATCCTCTCTGAGAACCTCCAGAAGAATTTCCATTCAGCCTGTCAAGCACAGTATTAAAATCGATAGGCTGCCCGCTTTCTTCCATCCTTTGAATCAGGCCAACAATATGATCAGCTCTGTAACCCATGCCTGCCAACTTCTCGATCAACTCATTGTAGGGATGGCTACGCATTAATTGAGGTGGACGAATCATCATATTAGAGCTAGCCATATGCTGTGGATTTTGGAGAGGGACACTAGTTGGAGGATAAGCATTTTGTTGAAAGTGAGATTGTGGGGTTGGATGGTGTGTTCTTCCGCCTTCACCATCAAATATCATATAAGCATTTCCCGAGGGAAGTGCTGGACGAGGGCCACTAGGCACATACCCATCTCCTGATTGTGCATTGTATGAAGTCTTCGGATGCTGCATGGGAGGTTGAGGCTGACTTGGTCTGCCAACACCACCATAACCATAAGACATTGCCTCAGGTCCAGCGGTGCCAAGTTGGGAAGTTACTGAATATGACACTTGCATTGGCATGCTATTAGGAGTCATTTCTGCAGAAGGATTTGGCTGATTTGGTGGATAGGAAGGATAAAGTGCTGGAGATGAGGATCTAATCTGCGGTTGCATATGCAGCTGCTGGGGTTGTTGAACCGGCTGAGGAGGCTGCTGTGTCCACTGCTGCTGATATTGGGGCAATGACGGCACCTGTGAGTTCTGGTTTGATTGTGTCTGCTGAGGTGCCATCCTAGAGAGATCTTGAATTTGAGTTTGTGTTGGCAGATATTGAACCTGCGATGGAGGCAAGTAATATGACTGTGTTTGTGCCATACTATGTGAAGCCAAGGACGGTGGGGGTGCCATAGGAGGAGCCTGCTGATGCTCAACGGGTTGTGTAGGGGGGAGAGGTTGAGGAGCTACTTGATGTGGTAGAGCAAGTGCCAATTGCTGACCATGTGCATCTGATGAGTTATCACTCTTTTTGGCATCAATAGCAGTCTGTGATGGTCAATCCTCATACTGTGGTGAATTGCTAGTCACAGAGGATTCCTTTTGCACAAGATGAAGCTTGGCCAGCTCCTTCTGAGATTCAGCCAGCTCAACGGGTTGTGTAGGGGGGAGAGGTTGAGGAGCTACTTGATGTGGTAGAGCAAGTGCCAATTGCTGACCATGTGCATCTGATGAGTTATCACTCTTTTTGGCATCAATAGCAGTCTGTGATGGTCTATCCTCGTTCTGTGGTGAATTGCTAGTCACAGAGGATTCCTTTTGCACAAGATGAAGCTTGGCCAGCTCCTTCTGAGTTTCAGCCAGTTCTTGCTTATCTCTTATGATCTGCACAGACCTGTGAACCTGCATTAAAAATCAGAAAACTAGATCATCGGCAGCACCTGAAGAATTTTTATTTTGTCTACATCAAGACAGATATGAAGAAAGAAGAACTTGATCTTGTACACGATCAAGAATGCACTAAACCATATCACTAGTCGCCAAACCAAGATGCCACATTTGCATATTCAGACGATCACGTTAGATGAGGAAGTATACAAATAATTAACTCATCCTGCGTGCAAAGGTTCAGTGACGGAATTTGATGCAATGCATAGGAAACATCTGAACTATAATAAATGGTGACAGGAAAAATGATTATAACACCACCAAAAATAATGGTTTTTGTGAAACAAACTATGTTAAAACTTGAAAGATACCTAAACAACATATGAGCTTAAGCATCCAGCAAAAACGATTAATAGATTTCAAAGATAGCAAAAGCAGGACCACATTTACACTCCTGTGATTCAATACATCAACCAACACTTGCCAGTCTTGTTAGTGGAATATGAGGAAAGCTGCCATATTTAATAGGTTACCGTTAATAAATATTGTGATTGATAGTTATCATATTTAGCTATGATTTGGGTCTCTTCTTCGTGGGCATGAGCATTGTCACTACCGCCAGTTTATGATTGCATATTGATGCTTTTACCAGCATTAATTTTGAGGTGGATGTCAGTAGAATATAATGAAAACTCGAATATAAGAAAACTACCATATTTAATAGATTACATTAATTAATATTGATATTTAGTTGTGATTTTGGTTCTATATAATGAGAGAACCACTCACATTGAGAAGCATCGAGTCTTATTGAGTATATTTGACAAGCCTAACATGTCCTTTAAATGGGTTTAGTGAATGCATCAGAAGATAGCATCATACAGTCTTTGCACCAAGAGAAATGTAAAATGCCCAACTCATATGTAGGACCTCACTAAGCATAGAATAAATGAAAATGTAAACTACAAGAGATTTTACTCACCTCTTGGACGTGTTTTTCCAGAAATTTGAGCTTTGTCTCTGCTTCTCCATGATCACGAACTAACTCGGAACGCATTTCCCCAATAGATTTGTCAAGATTGTAACAATATAGTTCCAACTGTGAAAGTCGCGAGCTAATTCCCTCAAGAAAACGCATGAGATTGTCTGAATACTTCTTCATGGTCTTGTCAACAGTAGAGATAACATCTTGATTAAATGAAGATTCTTCTGGTGGACTGTAAGTAGTAGGAAAACCAGATGGTCTAGCCACTCTGTTTTTGTGAAATTCCTGCTTAATTTAGAGCATAGAATCATTATGAAGCTTATACAAACTTGATCAACACCCAAAAAACCAGTAAACGCTAACAAAAGGCAGAGACTACTTAAGCATCCCTCAAGCAAGAAAGATAAGGAACAAAGAACTATATGATCATCAAATTCTCTACTAAGGCCCTGTTTGGTATATATTATTTTTACTAAAACTTCTTCACCTTCTCCTATGATTTCAAAGAACAATATTAGTAAAAGGCATATTTCCAATTCCCCTTATTTCGTTTCCCCATTTTCCTTAAGAACGTTTTAATTTTCTTCGGATAATTTTCAGTAATTAAGTTGTAATAGTGATGATCTTAACCCAATTTCTTTCATCCTGATTAATTAAGAAACTTTTGAAGGTTATGATAGCACAAACAAATAAAAGGACGCTTTCCTGTAAACTTGGTCATATGCACAATATATATTCCTTTCGTTTAATGATTATTTTCCTTCTATCTTACAAATCGAGTCTCATCTTAACCACAGAAGCATGATCTCTTATCTCAGCAAAAATTAACACATATATATACAAATTCAACTTCAAGAACCTTATTATTCTGAGTAGACCATTTTTCACAAAGCTCAAGAAAAAGAAATTACGATTATCGAAGTTTAAATGTAAAATATTAAATAAAAATACCCGATTCAGTAGCGTGAATAAACAAAAGTAAACACTGAAGACCAACTATCAACAATCGATCCCAAAGTTACCCGTAAAGTTAAAACCTAATTTGAAAAACTGGAAACAAAAAAGACCATAAATTCTTCAAAGAATTACCTTAGTCGAATTAGCTAGAAAAGACGGATCGGCGTGGTTCCCGTTATTCCCATCCCGATTGCCGAAATCTTCGTACGAACAAAGAATATCATCCGACCCGAAATCGAAGGATTTGGAGGCTGAATCTCTTCCCCTACCCGATAGCCCAGATGCCATAGTTGCTCGAGATTCTGAAAGAAGCTCAAAATTCTAGAGAGAGATTCGATGGATGGATAGATACGAAGTATTTGTATATAAAGTTTGCTTAGGCTGCGAGTAAAAGAAAATGAAGAAGCAGATTCCGAGTATTGTATATGAATGTAATGTGAGGAAGCAACGTTTTTGATAAAAAATGTGAAAAGCGTGGGTCATCATATAAAGGATAAAATCCACACCGACCTTTCTCATTGATTATTCTTTATTTTTCACTAAAATAATCGTATGCTTAGGAGGTAGAGTAGGCGGTGTTTATTCTGAAATTAATAGCTATTTCGCAACTTATTCGTGACAAGGTCCTCTAAGGTAAAAACTTTAGTAGAAGACGACATGTAGTGGCAGAGGATCTCCTCTTTCGTCTTGTCCCCATCTTGGCGACATCAACTGATATGATCTTGTTTGTCCTCAAGATTTTAACATTATTGCTCTTGTATAAGATTACTCGTGTATTTGTTACATGTCAATAATGCTATATGGAGAGGGATAAAGGTGGGGAAAAGAGGAGAGTTGTGTGACAAAATACATCTTTAGTGATTGATATGGGTGAAACGCATAATAAAATTGCATGAATTCACCTATCAGTGATACCTAGTTACCTCGTGTAGATTTTTCTATTGAGATTTGAAAGAAATTCAAGTCCTCTTGAAATTACAAGCTCACTTTTTATTCTTTTTTTTTTCCCAACCAAATCAATTTCTTTCGCAGAATTTTTTTTCACACATTCGATGTGAGATGCCTTCTTTTTGTTCTCAAATTCGAGGGACTATCTATTAAGTTTTAAAGAATGGAGCTTTGGGTTAGTTCAAATCGTTACAATCATAAAACTAACACTTGAAAAAATAGGATGGAGTTTCTTAATATAATGGATCTAAACAGGGGCGGAGCCAAAAGGGTATAGTTGTGGGGGAAAATTTCACAAAATTTTATTTATAGGGGAAAATTGAAAATTATTAGGAACTCTTTGGAAAATTTTGCGTGAAAATCTATTTCAAAATCATGAATTTCAAATTTAGTGTGGAAGTAGCGGATCTCATTGACCCTCACTGTAAATCTGCCCATGGATATGAAAGGAGAATTATGCTACTCAACCACTTTGGATTACACTTTGAATTACCCGATCCCACCTCCTCCCTCACATGGAGGTCGGGTCCCACATCCAATAAATGCGTGGTACCCAACCCCCATGTGAGGGAGGGGGTGGACCCCAATAACCAAAGTGTAATTCAAGAGGTACATGTAGCAAGACCCATGAAAGGAATATAGTATGTGATAATATGGAAAGTGTAATTAATAATTGAAACATAACCCTCTCATTGGTAAATCAAAGTCAATAATTAATTTTAACCACATATTTCACGAGATTCACAACTACGTATTTCATTAATTTTTATCAAAATCTACTAAAAATATGATTTTAATCTCGGGCATAATGTAGTGTAAATAAGAGTAATAAATTCTAAGTAAATATGTTATCATGTTACGAAAAATAGATCATGAGAAGTTGAGATTGTAAGAGAAGTGAGGCTATTAAGAGCCTGTTTGTACCCTAATTTATTTGCCCCAAAATGTATTTCAGAATAGTAATTTGATGGAGAATGTATAGTTCAAAAATTAGAAAAATTTTAAGTTTGTGTGTAATTTTATTTTATTAAAAGTGAAAGATTAGAACATATCCAAAATATTTTTCAAATATAAGATGTTCTCTATTTTAAAAAGTCGGTCCTTAAAATTATGCTTCAAGAGATACTTTAATTAACTTTTTAATTTGAATAATGTTATTTAGTATCACTGATGTTTAACATCAATCCAAATGACAGCATTAGGGGCATCAAGTTTTTGGTACAATTAAATACAAGTAGGCCCCATTTCATAGGACCTATGATATGTTGCTACCTAAATTGGGGATCCAACATCACTGGTGTTAGATAATATTATTTTTCAATTAAATAAATTACATAATTTTACTTTTAATTGAACATATTACATAATGTCATATAAATTTGTGTCAGATAGTATTATTCTTTTAATTTAAATAGTGGGTTTGGCTCCCCAAACCTATTCTCTATAATTAAATGTATTCAAAATATTTCAATTTTCAATAAAAGAAAATAATAAAATAATTTGGAGGGAAGCTAATGAAAATAAAAGATAGTGATAAATAATAAATATTTTTGGAAGTAATAAAATTAAGTATTGAATATAAAGAGGCCGTTGAAGTGCTTAAAAATTCTCTCTAAATTTATAGATACTATCTAAATTGTCGAAAAATAGAGTCTCTTGGAAATACTCTTATTATGCTACAATCCTAAACATTAAGCGAAAAATTACCACAATCACAATAAAATTGGTATATTCGACGCTAGATGATATAACTTATGTTCTATATGTGTTGACAACAATAGATACCATAAAAGTAGAAAAATAGCAAATATGCAGTGCTCTTCGATACTGCGTAGAAAACACACCAAAATCGTCAACCCCTCACAAAAATCTCATAAAAGATTTGAAATTTGTGATTACAAAAATAAGTCAAAAAAACTCAATTGCAAAAACTAGGCAAGAATGGAAATTTCTTGACTAAGATGGAGAGTCCAACATAAAGGGATTTAGACTAACGTGAAAGGAACATAAAAGAAGCATCAAACTCATGAAGCATGCAATAGAAGTGGCAACCAAGGAGCCTATTATTTTGTTGCAAAAATCAGGCACTATGGTGCATATTGGTAACCATCCCAAATGAGGGTCTCCACATTTGATTAAGGCAAATGTTTGCCATGCTGCAGCTATGCTTGTACCAGCTAACATTGTCAAAATCTGGTTTAGAAAATTAAACCAATGGATTAGAGAGATAAAATAGATGATCAAAACATATAAATAAAAAGAAATTGGCATGCATAATTCTATCACGATAATTTTACTGTACAATCATAAATTGAGTTTAACTGACATACAACTGGATCTGAACTAATTTGAAAAAGGCAATAAAAAATAAACAAAAGGGGAAAAGAGTGAAAGTGTTAATAGAAAAGAAATGACAAAAAGAGCTATTTTCAAAGATTCCGAATTATACGAAATTAATTACTATTGGTGTCACCTCATATTTCTATTAGTTGAAATGAAAAAGCAAGCGAAGGATACGATACACGCTATTAAATTAAAGGACTAAAAGTTTACATTTCAAAGTTTAAAAACTTTTAGACACGTGTTATAGAGTTTAGAGATTAAAGATGTCGAGTTCGATGAAATTGCCTAGTAAGCAACTCCGTCTGCCAATTCATCATTTTCATTAGTTGGAAAAACCAAGATCGATGGAGGGACTAATGGGGAATACATTGTTAAGTTGAAGGACTAATAAAATCAACGTTTTAAAAATCGACCCGACTATCGACCCAGAAAAAAAGAAAGGGTTAAGGGTCGAAAGATTGAACCGGGGTCCAATCGAGATCAAATTGGTGATTTTTTAAAAATTAAAAAAAATACATTTAGAAATTCAAATTTAAACAAGAAGAGTAATTATTGTACGAAATTAACTTACGTGAAACTGTTCCAACCGGTGTATCTAGCAATAAACTCATGGGGCCTTATGTTAATCTTTTGATTGCTTGCGAACATGACAATGGCTGCCACTAACAACGCGAGGAAGGCTAAACATCTTAAGACAATCGTATAAACAGGTTTTTTAGCCATTGAAGAGATCTGCAATCTATAACTCAAAAAATTCAGAAAAATGGTATATTTTAATAAAAATATAATTATTTTTTTTTGAATTATTGATGAAGAACAAGATTTTATTTTAGAGAAAATTATGAAAATAAATTAGTAGCATATTCCACTTAATCCATTTTGGGTTAAAAAACAAATTATTAAAGCTCTCACAATAAAAAAAAAATCATATTTCTGCCTTTTCCTAGTTAATTAATATCCATTTTCAATAAAAAAGAAGTACATTTCATGAGACTGAACACAATTTTTCAACAAGAAAATAAAAATAAAATATACTCACTGTTTGTAAAATTTCAACTTCTCTCTCGTTTCTTTCTCTCTCTTTTTTTTGGTTGGTTTGTATAACTTTTAATGTTGACCACCTGCAAAATTACATGAAATAACAAAATTATTCAATTGAAAGTTTTTGCAAGAATATGAAAAAGCAGAAGAGAGATTAAACCTAATGGAGATAGAATAGAGATTACGCAAAATGTTCAATGAAATTATACGTGTTGAGGTTTTAATAAATAAATAAATAAAAAAAGAGTATTACGTTTGGAAAATAAATAATTTAATTATTCTACATTTTGTTTTTTAGTTTAGAATTCTTCTATATTAAAGTCGAGCCAAAAAGGAAATGTACAAAAATTAATTTGTTTCATTATTTAAAGAAAAGAAAACATGCAAAATTAAAATTAAATGTTGAGAGTGGGATTTGAACCCACGCCCTTTCGGACCAGAACCTTAATCTGGCGCCTTAGACCAACTCGGCCATCTCAACACCTACACTTGTTTCTTAAACATATAATATGTTTAAGCGGCAATTTCGCAATCTTTTCTTTAGCTTTAACTATGTTGAAATTTTAAATTATGTCTCCATTGACAGATTTCAACTGTCATTATCGCATCCATACGCACCTCTCTCACCCTAACCGAGAAACAAAGGGAAAATTGGTCAATCCATAAAAGGTCTTTCTAGTTGGAAACCCCAACTTTACATGTGAATTTTACCCATCATGCCCTCTATTTTGTTCTAGAAACAAAGAAGAAGATGCCACCTATTGCTAAAAACGCAATTGAAGGGCAACCAAACCCTACACTAGATTAATTGAAATTACTTGTTGTTCAAAAGAACATACACATCAGATATTTGGAGAAGCTCATTCGAACAATTTTGAATACTTTGTGTTATATCTATAATTACGTGGCATGCGCATAACATATGTGGTTTCACATATTCTGATTCAACATCGATT